TGCTTAGAACTTAGAATGTTGCTTAGAACTTAGAATGTTGCTTAGAATGTATGACTTCAAAGTGAAGAACAGTTGTATCTAGTGTGATTTGCTGAATGGTTGCTGTTAAAAAATGTGGTGTATTCAGTACATTCGGAGAGACTGAAAGTTAAAACACGTGGTTCTAATTTGATTATTAATCTAATTGTCTACGTAGTTCCAGTGCTTTCTCTTTGGTGTGCTAGTGTTTTTGAAAAACATGCTCAAATACATCTCTAACATCCATGCTTTATCTTGAGCATCTAAAACCTGAGGTACCAAAATGAGTTAAATCAGTAGCAGTTTATGATATAGTTGTTATAGCATTACACATTCAATTCCCAGTTGCAAAGTGGCATTCATAACAAATTCTTCATTGAGACACTTAGAGAATCAAGGAATCCTGCAGATGTTAACAGGCTGATTTAAGCATTTGTCAGAACATACTTTGCTTTCCCAGTCAGCCAGGGTTATGTTAAAACACTTTTATTTATTTATTTATTTTTTTAAATGCTAGTTGTTTAAGTCCACAGCAATTTCAAATCTTCTTCTGCAGAAGATAGGGAAAGTGCAAATATAGCAAAACACTATTTCAGAGATCTCTGGTTCAAGCAGCACAGCTAACTAAATCTTGATTTCTGCTTCTCTTTCTGTGAATGATGCAGCAAGGCTTTTAATGTGATTTATGCCAAGAATATTAATTTCAGTGAAAAATAAATCAGTAGTATTGATGAGTAATATCCATGTCCCTTAGGGATCCCCATGTTCCAAAATAATGCAAATAATTCACAAAGCCAAATAGTAATTTAAAAGCATAATGTTTGGATTCATAAGGTGCCGCTGTTGTTGCATGTTTCCCTAAGCAAAGAAATGAAGCCCTCCTGATTTCTGGATGACAGGTCACAGAAGTAATAGCTTAGGACAATGAATAAATACAGCAATAGCACTTCATGCTGATCTTGCTCCTTCTGGTTTTGCAAAAGAGCATGGCCAGGCTCATCTGAGTCTGGTTAGCTCTGTGTGCACTATGAATATGAGGCAAAATGTTTATCTCAGTAATACTCCATCACTGAGGAAAAAGGGGAGTAGTAGTTAAAAGGTTTGGTAGCAGATGTGAGTAGGCAAGTTTTCATTACAGCAGTTGACGATATATTTCTAAACTTCTTTCATTTGCTGAAATGTACGTTCTTGCACAAAATGTTTAAACTTTCTATTTGTGAAACGTATTTTATTTTTTCTTTGTTAAAAGGCAGGAACCATTGTTATGCCTACAAAACCATACACTTTAAAATGATATCTTTAAAATTCTTAAAATATCTTTGTTTTAAAAAAATAATAAAATCCAGACGAGCAGAATCCTTGCATGAGACTCAAAGCTAATAGAAGACTTCAGAACGGCAGCCAACAAGGAACAGTTTTATGTCAGGCTACTGTTCTGCCAAAAAAATATAGATAAAAAGTATTATTATGTAGTGAGACTACATATAGAGAGGGCCTGGAATTGGAGCTATTGAAAATAAAACGCTATGATTTTGTCTCCTATAGATAATTCATCAATGTTGAAAGTATCTTTAAAACAAAATAATAAAGCATTAGCTCTGGCTTTGAGCGTGGAGAAAGAAAGTTCTCGGAAGCTGAAGAATGAGAGGATTTTTCTTCAGAAAGAAGTCGAAAAGCTGCAGCTTCATAATATCCTGCTTCGTCAAAAACTAAGCTGTTTGGTATATTGCCAATAATGTTTAAGCCTAGATCAGCTAAACCAAGCTTTTGTCTTTAATTGAAACATAATATTGCCTTTCAAAATGGTGATTTCAAACACTCGCATCTCAGATTTTTGGAGCTGTCATCTCACAGCAAATCATTGTTTTTTAATTTTCCTTTCTTAGGAATTTTTACACTAACCAGTTTATTCAAGACTGTGTCTGTATAACCATGGTTATTTCAGTGTCAGCTTCATTTCTGTGTTAAAAGGTATTGAAAATTTAGTTTGTCCTCAGCTGGGTGAAAAATTACAACAAATACCTTTATATCTTGTCTTCCTTAGAAAAAAATAAATTTAAAAGATACTTTTATATTTTTTCTTCCTTTGTATGCAGAATAAAACTCTTAGAGAAATAGGAGCGTTTTTGAGTGATAACCTGTTAAATGCAATAGAAATAAGCAGTCTTTCTGAGGTAAGACTTTTTCTAACTATTGCCGTATCAAAATCTATGTAATAGCTTCAGGATAATATTTTCAAAATATAAAATGTTGAAATCATATGTGCATTTAAAAACATCTACCCCTATTGTTTAATGTAGGGGTGAATCCCTAGTCCAGTGAAGTCAGTGGCATTTCACTGCTACAGGCAGTAAAAATAGAGGATTTAATCTTGTTTACAAAAAGTCTGAAAGTTTTGTATCAGATGAAATGCAGTTACATGACTTTAACAAAATACTTCTTCCCCACTGTTCTTCTTTTGAAAGAATCTTCAGAGTTCTTTTCATCTGTCAGACAGTCCACATAGCTGTACTGATGACCAGGTGAAGAGTATGTGTCAGTCAGCAAGGTAAGTTGTATTAAATCTGGAAGCTGGTAAGTATGTGTAGATTTTTTTTTTCTTACAATTAATAGAATCATAGAATCATAGAATCACCAAGGTTGGAAAAGACCTAAAAGATCACCCAGTCCAACCGTTCACCTATTCCCAATAGCTCCTACTAAACCATGTCCCTCAACACAACATCCTGTCTTTTTTTTTGAAGTTGAATATTTTTGAAGTAACTAGAAACAATTTCCTACCTAATTCAGAAGCTATCTGCAACTTTTAATGATCAGGATGATAGTGAGAGTAAACATGTGTTTGAATAACTTGCTTCTTTCTACATGAGATCTCACCAGCACAAAGCAGATGTAGTGTCATAAATACCATTGCCCCTAAGGCATAATCCGAAGTAAAGTGCATTTCATACCAGAAATTTTCTCTTCTTATATACTGCTAAAGAAATGTTTTAAACAGTTGAATATTATGGTATAAAACATAAAATCTTCACAGTAAACTTTTCTCTTTTCAGATCTGTAGAATTGCCGGTGAAACTTCCTTTACTTGCAACATCTGCTGGAAAACAGCAAGGTAGCCCTTCTGTGTGTGACATAGCAAATTATTTTAGAAGTACCGCTATTTTGTCAAAGGAAACATGTTCAGATCAAGTCCAGTTTGCATCATCGTTGCTTTCTGGTAAAAGTAATCAAAAGTTAAATGAAATAGATCTGATGGAAGCAACCATTGACAAAATTTTATTTTTTAGGATGCAAGATGTATTTTCTGTACAGAAAATACCTGTTTTTCAGAGCTAGATGAGGGTTGGTATGAAATAGTTCATTATTTGATGTGTAATAAAGAAGATACGGTGAGATTACTAAACTGTAATACGCTTCTCAGAAGCGGCGACCACCCATAAGCACACGTGTCTCAACGATAACGTGTAGACTGTTGTTCATTCAAATAACACCTAAAAGTGTAAGAAAATTAATGTGAACAGAATGGCATTGTGGTAGTTAAATAGCTGCAGAGGTTGTAGAAAACAAATAGATTTTTATTTCACAGAATCATAGAATTCTTAGAGTTGGAAGGCACTGAAGGCCATCTAGTCCAATTCCTCTGCAGTGAACAGGGACATGCCCAGGGCCTGATCCAGACTCACCTTGAAAGTCTCCAAGATGAAGCATGAACCACATCACTAGGCAACCTGTTCCAGTGCCTCACCACCCTCACAGTAAAAGAATGTTGTTTTCCAAGCTTCCCATCCAACTTTCAGTAAGGTGTCTTATTCTGACAAGCTGCTAAAATTTCTTTTTTTTTTCTTTTCCTTCCAGAAAATCAGTCTCGCACAGAACTAAGCAGTAATAGCGCGTTCCTAGCTCACGTCAATAATGTACAACCTCTAAGACAGTCTGAGGAGTTCACAAGACAAGATGATAGTTCATTGCCATTCTGTGGGAATGTGACTGAAAGAAAGAAATGTGCAACACATTATGGGTCAAAAATACAACTTACTGTAAAGGATTCTGGTAGAAAATGTAGCTCAAATCTTCCTCCTCATGGTAGCAGCAGCAATGAGGTGAATGTGAAGGAAAGTCCAAGTGATTTGCTTCGCATTATTCCTTCACAACTTGATTTTAGCAGTGAATGTAAGGAGATGCTTCCTATTGATGGGATAAAATCTGAAGAAACTGTTTATGATGCTGATATGGAGTTGACGGCCAGCGATGAAGGTGAACTGCTCACAGTTGCATCAAAAGACAAATTACATAAAAATAATAATGCCAATTCTGGTAAAGTACTGGCAAATTTCAGAAAAGTAAAATATTCTAAAAGTGAGAAAGAGAAAATTAAAAACAAGACTGAAGTCAATTCAAATTTTTATGCAGAAGAAAACCATGTTAGGGCTGACAGTAACATTTCAAATATGACTGACCCACAAACTCAGCTATTCCAAAGTCAGACAGAACAGCTACCTACACAGAATTCTACAGTGAAACAGAATTTACTGAATACCAATAGCTGTAATCAAAACCAAAATTGTCTAAGTAAGGATAAAGATACTAGAAGAACATACCTAGTTAGCTTAGTGCATCAAAAACAAGAATCAAATAAAGAAAATTCCTCAGAAACATTGGAAGATGTGGAAAACAAAATAATAAAAGCATCATCAAGCTTATCTAGTAGTGAGATTCCACCTCAAGTTTGCTGTGCTGAAAGCTTGGCGTTCCAGGATAACAGCTCTACTGTACCACCTTTACAGCAGGACTTTCCGCATGAAAACAAGAACAGTGTCAGACTGCTAAGAAATGGGAAGACCTTTCAAAACCCTTCAAAAATGGATACAGCTGAACACTGTAAAGTTGATAATGGGAAGTATGAAGAATATGGTTCAAAAAAGTCTCAAACAGACAGGTGCAAATGTGACAGCAAGAGAAAACAATACCAGAAGAATATTATAAAGAGCAAATGCAACAAAGAAGGTGGTTACAGACAAAGAGAAACTGAAAATGACAGTGTTAATAATATTATTCTAAAAGTAGATCAGAAGAGTGGTAATTTTTCACCAAGCAGATTAAAACACACGTTGGCAAAGGCTGCACATAAAGCATATGTAGTACCAACTAAAGATCTTACTACGTTCTCGCTTTGCAGAAGGAAAGAATTAGAAAATAAGAATGCATTGTGCACACAGGCTGTTCATGGAAATAAAATACCTGAAACCCAGCAATCTCAAGGAGCTTTAGTTGCTCAGAATGGCATGGCAATGAATATACCACAAGCTAAAGCCTCCACGGGAAATGTTGACAGCAATGCTGATAAGTTAAAGAGAGCAGGTTCCTCATCAGCAGCATGTGAAGAATCTAACATTAGTAATTCTTGTGACAATCAAGTGAAAGAAAAAGGGAGCCTTAGTTCTGGTATCATGGAGAGCAGACAAAAAAAGAATTATTTCAGGCATATTGATCAGGGACAGCTGACTTTTTTGGATAACCAGGAAGTCTCTCATGAGATGGATTCCTTTATGAACAAGTTAAAACCCACAGTGCAAAAATTAGAAATTTTAGAATCCTTACCTGTTGATTGTTCTGAGAATATAACAGTCAGTACAGGTAGCTTTTTCCATAAAGATTTTTCTGAAATGAAGCCCACAGCTCTTGATAATCTTAATGCTTCCACAAACTCTATACTGAAAAATTCAGAAATTTCAGGAAAAACCGGTCAAGATAAAGCACTGGTTTCTGGAAAAGCAAAGCAAAAATCAGATCGTATTTCTAAAGAGATTTCTGAAAAAACTTTGACACACTGTAATGGTAAGTGTACGAGAATGGGGGGAAAAAAGCATTTTTAATTAGTTTTTGTATGGAGTAATGATAAAAATATGTTCTCTCAAAAGTATTCCACTGGTTCCTTGCTTACAGTGAATGAAATAGAAGTGGAAAGGTAAGGCTCAAAATCACTACAACGATTCATGTATCAGTCTCGCAATTGTGATAACTAATATACCTGCTACTGTGTAATGTGCTCCAAAAAGACATTTTGTCACACAGGTTAAGCAGTCCCTGTTCTTGAGGAGCAGCTATAATTGGAACCTGTGTTCATTTTGCACAAGAATGTTGTACGATTCAGAAAAGTGGGGTTAAAAAGATAAAGTAATTTTAAGTTTTATACAAGAGAAATGTCAGTGTACACTGTTCCCTCTATAGACGGGGAACAGAAACAAGAGTGGTTCTCATACAGTAGGCTTACAAATTCCATATTCAGTGTCACAACGTAATAGTATCAAAATAAGTGCAAAGGCAAGCCATCATTCATCTGGCAAATATGAGTTTCCTCTGTGTGATCAAAAGCAAGTATTTTCTGCCTCAGGCAAGTTAAGGTGGGTAAAGACTTCATTCTCCAAATGTGAAAATATGAGGGTTTCTGTTTTGTTGAAAAACTGCTTCCCATATGTTCTCATCTGGATGCAGTAAATCCAAGACTTGACCTATATCAGCAGGGAATGTATGCTCCTGGAAGACACTGACAAGAATACAGATTAAGGCTGTGTTTATTTTATCTTGGATTGGTACCTCTATTAAATCTCTGTGCTTTCCGGAGAGCCTGTGATCCACCTTAGATTTTTTTTTTTTTGAAATTTGGGGTAACGTAATAATTTCACTATTTCTCCCAACTTACCAAAATCTTTCTCTCCAAACTAAGTATTGAGGTTTAGTCTGGCATTCTGCATTTGATCTTAAAAAATTTTGCAATATTGATAGTGCTGCTTCTGAGGCTGGTTGCATCTTAGTAGGGTATTGAACTTTCACATTTGCAGTGACTGAAAATACAAGACATCTCAAATAGCCCTGTAGTATAAGTTTTGAAGATAAGGAGGTTCACTTAATCACCTTGCTGTGCTTTGTGCGTGCATGCTCATAGAGCAGGTGCAAAGTTGAAAGATGTTATTAGTTGTAGACAACTCTTGTACAGTTTGATCCCTCCACATTATGCACGTGTGCCCTCCCTCCTGCATCTAAGGCCATGATCTGCCCTCAGTTTTGGGTTTTTTTTACTGTAACATTATACCTGCTAGCTGCAGGTTAGGGTACCTTTGGGATTTGATTGTGTCTCAAGAGCATGGTAGACCTCAAACAGCTCCAAACTAGGTTAGGTTGAAAGCTGTTGTAATATCCTTCCCTTTGATCACATTCCATTATTTGTAGAGCACCTTAAGCACAGGAATAGCATCCAAAGTGCCTGAATTATAAGAAATACAAGGGCTGCTCTGAAAGTAGTATTTTATTATTTCATCACACGACATCAGAGGCAGATGCTGGCTGTATGTTCTGACAGAATGCCATCTGCCAAAGCCATGCATATAAAGCGAAGGTACGTCACTGAATTCCTCCATGGGAAAAAATGGCACCCGCTGATGTTCACTGACACTTGCTGAATGTTTATAGAGACCAAACAGTGGACGTGAGCACAGTGAGGGGATAGGTGGTGCGTTTCAGAAGTGGTGACGGTGAACGTGAAGACAAGCCACATTCCAAATGGCCATGCACAGCGGTCACACCATAAAATGAAGGCTGTCTCAATCAACTCATCTGTGCAAATCATCTGATAGTGATGACTATGATGAAAAATAGGGTTTTGTCACTGAGAATTTGCTCTGTCAAATACTGTTATCGTGCTCTTTGTATCTGTTGTAGTTTCCATGGAAATAAATAGGAAGCATTACTTTTGGAGTGACATATATACTAATGACGGATAATTATGAATTGAAATTTTACTTAACAGTTCAGAAAATATTTAAAATGAATCATAAAATATTTTTTTCGCAGGGAAAACAGCTTTGCAAGATGTGACAAATACTACTGAGTTTTCTCACACTTCCTTACCCAAATCCTCCCAGATTTTAGAAGAAGACTCAGCAGAACCAGTGAGACGAGGAAGAGCTGCTATTTGCTACAAAGAACCCCCACTAAACCGGTAGGTATCAGATGGAGAGGGCTGGTTTTGCTTATAGTACACAATTTAATAAAGATTTGCTATTAAAACCCCCAAATTCCTAAGAAATTAACTATTTATTTTGCAAACTGGAGTGGAATGATACCTCAGTGTTCATGTTTCCTGTTAGTGTGGCAGGATTTCCAGGTGCCAGAGTCAGACATATGTAGCCTACAGTTAAACTTTTTATGCCAGTATAATAATGATGAGTTCTTAATATTTGTCATGACATAAACCCCTTTGGAGGTGTATAACTGTAAACATTATACTTAAATGTTATACTTTTGCCATAAAAATGCCCTTGTAATATTGCCAAGTGACAAGATAATTTCTGTAATGATATTACAGAATTCTATAATCTTCCTTTAGCTAGATATATCTAACATAATAAATCATTTGAGTTTAAGATATTTTAATTTAATAATTAGTTATCTAGCTCAGTGTTCTTGCTCAATTCACTAGCACAAGATTTCCAAGATTTTTTAAAGATATGGCAGAGATTGCCATAGCTATTAAAAATTAAAAGAGGGTTTCAAACATCCATTAATAAAATCAGCATATTTGTACAAATGGTGTACCTGTAGACCTAAATCTCAATGGACCATTAAGTTGCAAATAACTCCTGAACATATTCAGACAGCTTTAGCCACCACTTTTTGGTTGTTGTTGTTTTTTTCAATCCTAATCTAAGGAGACAATATCTTCTATTATATGTGTATTGATAGACTGCATTTCAGGAGCTAAAGACTATTGAGATTTTCCCATTATGGTCTGGAGAATTAAAGGGTTATAGGTACTTATTTTACAAGTCAGGTGCAGAAGGGAATATGTTGATGAAAATGAGGGGAGAAGAAAATAAAACCACAAACTGAACATTTCACACAGTATTTCCATACACCCTCAAAATATTTTTGTTTCCCTTGGTAAACAAGCAAATGATTAACCGAGGCACTGAGGTTGAAGACAGATAGAAGCTAAAAGCAAAGTAAGAACTGTCTATAATTTTATCAACATTTGCTTGTTTGTTTTTCAGAAGTATTTATGAAATTGTGTTTGTAAAATTACAAAAAAAAAAAAAAAAAAGAAAAAAGGGGGGGACTATAGTTGCATTTTTGCTTTACTGATTTTAATTGGATGCTAAATTGATGCTGTGATAATATGGCCACTGACATCATCCTTTGGATGATTAGGCTTTGTATCTCTGGAGAGAGACAATAAAGCAAAAATAGGAAAAAAAAAATTGGAATTCACTTGAGAATTTCAATTACTTGACTATGATTTGTAGCATTATTTTCAAAAAGAATGTTATCTATGCTTTGCTAATTCAATCATATTTGCTTTCCATAAAATTAAGTTCTTTAATGTATCTAACTTTCAGCGGGATTATTTAGCACTTGCAATTATTATAATTATATAGACATATGGTGACATTCACATGATATTTTCTATTTCTTTTGTTCACAGAAAATTAAGACGTGGGGATCAGTTTACAGATACACAGTTCCTGCATTCCCCAGTCTATAAAGTAAAAAAGAAAAGAAGCTTTAAAAGTAAATCAAAATTTATTTGAAGAAGACAAGAGAATTGCCTTTATGAACAGCACTTCTGAAATGGTACTTTTTTTTTTTTTCCAAAAAACTATAGTTTAGTAGTATAGGATGCTTACTGTTCTTCAATAGATAAACAGAAAACAAAGGCTGCAAAACGGAATTTCTCGGAAAAGACCCACAGCACAAAGGACGTAGAACTCTTCACCAAAGAAAGCAAATTCAGGTTAGAATCCAGTCTCATGTTCTGAATTTTTGCTCAGTAATTTATAATCTTTTCAAAGTATTTGCGGCACTTATTAATTTGTAAGAAAAGTGTAAGTTTTAATGAGAATTAAAAACAATCACGTTTGGGAATTACTGTGATTTCTTTGTATATACTGTGAGCAGAGTAATTTATCAGTGCTAGCTGGAGCAGATATAAGCATCCTAAATACAGGTGCAGAGAGCCTTGGGTGTGGTTGTTTTTTCTTTGGTTTGTTTTGGTTGTTTTTTTGTTTGTTTGCTGTTGCTATTTGTTGAAACAAATAGCAACAAATATTGCTATTGTTGCTATAGCAATATTATAGCAATATATGAGGAGATCTCATTTTTAGGAATTGTTGAAAGAAACCCAGTATCATGCATATGGCTCATAGGCAATGCTCGTAGCAATGCTTTGAGTTTCCAGTTGAGACTGTGCTACTGTGACAAATACTACAACCATGCCATAGCACTCAGCTATCAGTTTTTAGACCATTTCCCCTCTGTACCCTCATCAGTCACTTCTGCATTCTGTTGTGCCTTGTCATGAGACAAACAACTTTTGGGTGATATCTAAGTTCTAAATGCTGCCAGCTGCAAACTGTAGCTCACAACCCCCATAACCTCTATGGATTATTTTGGATAGGGTTCAGATTTGTTTTGGAACCAAGATCATTTTATCTCATTTTTAATGAGACACAAATAAAGTGATTCTTAACACAGTATTAATCAGACAAATTAATGGAAAAAAAAATCCATGAGGAATTACTGGAAATGCTGTTTTTAAGGTTATTCACTCTTGAAAGCCTTCACAGACTGAGCAGTTTTACAGTAAGCTAGACCTTTGATCTCATCTGGTAACTCTTGTATTTATAAAGTTTAAAAAACAAAGAAAAATCAGTACTCTTTGTACTTCATTGTAGCTTTTCTAGCATTGTAACCTGGGTAAGTGAGAAAATCCTGGTTTCTGTATATTTGAAAGACAAAGTGTTTGAGAATAGTCAGCATGGATTTATGAAGGGAAGATCATACCTGATTGAGCTGATAACCTTCTGCAATGTGACCATTAGCGTAGTGAGTGAGGGGACAGCAGTGAATGTTTTTTTACCTCTACTTCAGTAAGGTTCTTGGCAGGATTCTCAGCAGTCTTTTTCTTTCTGGAGTGCACTTTGCATGTCGCTACACTGGTAAAATCATTATGAAGAGGTGAGGTAATGGATGGAAACATCAATTCTATCTTGATCCAATACTATTAAAAAAAAAAAACTACATACACTGCTATACGCTTCTTCACGTATCAACATCGCTAGCTGCATCATTAGAAATCCAAAAGCAGCATCTGTTACAACTTGTATTCCCCATACTGGCACTGCAGCAGTGAAACACAGTAATTTCATTTGTTTGTCCTAAATGGCTATTTCTCTCTATTGCCTATGGTTTGAAAACTAAAAACAGAAGTCGAGGTTTCTTTTCTTGGGGGGGAAAAAAAAGGATCTTTTGGAGATAGTCTTAGTTATTTTTTCAGTGATGTTCCTGCTGTTCAACACTGCCTCTGTTACTACCAGTTAGGCTGCTGTTGTGTTTCAGGCAGTTTTAAATCAAGCTGTAAAACCTGGGCTTTATGCCTTACCTTCTTCAATTTGCATTAAGTATAGATATCTTTCAGAGTATGAAAGGATAAAGAATGTGACCTGAGAGAGGGGAGAAGTTACTTTATGTACCTCTGAAATCACATCACTGTTATTACAGCACATGTTCCATTGTTATCCATCCTTACTTTTGTTGCTCAAGCTGCTCAAGTTGATGCTACACACAGAGATAACATTTACTTTTAATATCTAAGGTCTACTTATTTTGTTTATTGTATAAAATGGCCACTTGAAGCACTGCATAAGAAATGCTGGAACACTTGCTTAGTGCTGAATCTTCACTAAGTGTGGTTTGTTCACCAGATCCACTAGTACACTGGAAGCTCTCGCAAGGAAAAACTGATGTAAAAACAGCTCAGAATGTTCCAGATAAAATTGCATCTGCGGCCGTCACAGGGATTAAGATTTATTTATTTATTTATTTATTTATTTATTTATTTATTTTAGGATAAGGTACTTTGGACTTCTTTTTGTGGCATCAAAGTTGTTTTTTTTTTTTTTCCCTCATATTTATGCAATTACTTTTAAATACATATTTAATATTTTCATTTATCACTGAAAGATTTAGTTTGTGTTAAAGTTTTAAAGAAAATTACTTCAATATACTTGCACAGCTCTGGGTTATAGAATCACTGTTTAAGTAGTCCTTATAAATGCTTAGAATTTGTCTTGAAGCTCATGAAGAATATTTTGTGAGCAGAAATTTATGCAAAATTTCCACAGGGCCTACGATCATTAATTTGCTGAGTTTAACCACAATTCAGAATTACTTTGGAGACTAAACTGTTACATAGGTGGCTCCAAAATTAATGCTTCCAGTTTAATTCTTTCAGAACTCTAACAAAAAGCACAACAATACTATTTAATAGAGGAAATTCTCAGCTACAAAACATTATTTTCCAGCAAGAGGCTGCATGCTGTGCTTGTGAAAGTTTGCAACAGCAGAGGTGACCCACTGTTGCCACCACTGAAATGCATCACCCTTGCCTTGCTGTGCTCAGTTCCTCTGTTTGGTCTCTCTAAACTTTCAGCAAGTATCGATGAATGTCAGTGGGTGCCATTTTCTCCACATAAAGGAATCCAGTGACACACCTTTGCTTCATCCACACTTCCACATGAGACACCATTTTGTCAGACTGCCCCTCTGCTGCCTCTGTCACACACAACAATGTGAGATGGGATACTGGTGGGGAGGTTCAACCTCTACTGCCATACCGCTAACATCCACCTCTGACACTGTGAGCCATCATAAAAAGATAGGAGGCATTATTTTTCAGAGCAGGCCTCACAGAAAGTGCTAGCAGTTCACTCAGTTCATTTTGCTCTATGGGAACACATGCTCTTTGTGAAAGTGGGAGGTTTGTCTTAATATTTTAAGCTACCTTAACAGAACAAAGTAAAAAAAAAATTATATGGTCAGCTCACATATTAAGAAAAAAAGTGTCTTGTAACTTTCAGGGTCACATAAGCAACATTAATTAAGTAAAGCTACTCAGCTCTTCTGCCATTCATAGATGAATATGTCAACTCCGAGGAATCAGTAAGCTCTCCATCCTTAAAACACCTGAAATGTGTTCTACTTCTCACATCAGTCTGAAATAGCTGAATTTTCCTGAGAGGTTTTGCTCTGTTTTGTTAAACAACAAAGCTTTGTACTTCAACAAAATGTACAACAGGTTCAGTAACTGCAACAGCCATCTCTTATCTGACCATTATATACAATCATCTGTCCTGAACCCAGACTGCTGTGGGTACGTATGCTGCAACTCAGAAGGACCCCAAACAAGTCAGGGAAGAACAATCCGGATGCAGTTGCAGCCTTAGAACCCCTTCTGCATCCTCCACGTACGAGTATTTTTTAACATATAAACAACGCAAAACATTGAAATTAATCAGGATAAAGTATTCCGGAGCTTGCGTTTGAATTGCATTGCTGTAGGAAATTTAAATCACACGTTGTATTAACGCATCGGGCGCCCACCCGGTTCTGCTTGAGTTTGACAGAGCACAGCCCCGCAAGCCGCATCCCACGCTGCCCGGTTCCACCCGCTGCCGCCCGGCCCCGCCCTCCTCGCGCAGAGCCTTTCCGGCTGCTGCTGCCGCTGCCTGCGGTTTGCTGCCCTGAGGGTTCCGCGTTGGGACGCGATGTCTCTGCAAGGGGCGGTAGGGGCTGCGGAGTTGGTTTTTTATGTCAATGGCAGAAAGGTAAGTGTCGCTGGGAGGGAGTCTGAAGGAAGGGTAACTGCTGTTTCAAAAGTAGCCCCGAAAGGCGTGGGCACAGATAGGATCTAGTTTTCTTAGATTTCGTCCTTGGGAACCCGTAATTGAATCCTTCGAAAGTCTTTGGAATGTGAATCAGTCAGCTAGTGTTATTACAGTTAGTTAGTTCTCTTGCATTACAAGTACTGTAAGAAAGGGAGAAGCATCGGAGGAAGACAACTGTTTCTTAAATCATCCTGTTTTAGCTAGTTCTGCTGAGTTTGGGAGGGGGAGTATCAAAATGAAGTGAACTTTCAGTTGGCTGATGAATTAACTAGTTTTTTTGCTTGTACGTATCTGGCTTCTCATCTTCAGTGGTTATTGGAGAAGAAAATTACGTAGGAACGAAAGTTGTTAGCAAGGTTCAAGTGCCAAAATCTGGGCTGTTCTAAAGATAATACTGCAAGAGCAAACCAAAGCTTGTTACTGATTAAACGCAACTGCGAGGAACTAGCTGATTCTAAGCAATAAGAAACCCTAAGGAATAAGACTCTCTGTAACGGAGACAAAAATGCAGGCATTTTTATTGCTCTAGTTGTTAGCCTAGTAAGATAAGTGAAAATTTATATAAACAAAGCTAGAAAAAAATTCCTGTTGGCAGCCTTAGAGGCTTCCTCTGGTGTTCATCCTAGTGGGTTAAAGTGCCAGAGAGACTCTAAAATCTGCAAATGATTAATTTGTTATGCTGTGCTATGTCTGTTGTGGCAAAATCCTGTTGCATTTTTATTTCTAATGTGATTGAAGTTTAGTTCCCTCAGTACGACCTTTCAGTGAGCAGCATTTATTTTTAGTACCACCTGACAGAATACATATCTGTCTATGAAGGAATCTATGGGCTTTGGCAATACAAGTAGTCCTATGAGAGTGAACCAGAGAATGTTTTTGTTCTGGTTTTGTAGGAATGTAGCCCGTGTCCTGAATTTTGAAAAGCTCTACTTTCTTGAAGTATACTTTTTTTTTTTTTTACTGCAGATAATAGAGAAAAATGCCGATCCTGAACAAATGCTGCTGTTTTATCTGCGAAAGAGACGTATCCTTTTCTTGATCATTTTTCCTTCCAGTCACTTAGTTGAAAGCCTTCTTCAAGTAGAATTCTTGTCAGTGATGATTAAAGCGCTGTTTTCCAGGTTAAAGAACCTGTGACTTCCTTAAGGTAAAATAGCTGTGTTAAACAGTATGATGTTCTTAAGTCAAATGCTCTTCAATGAGCTGCTGTGTTTTCAGCCTAGTTTCCTAAACAAACAAGCTATCCTATTAGGCACAATTTACGTGTGTGTATCTATCTGTCTGTTCCTAAAAACCTTTTGGCCAGTATGAATAAAATTTAACAACATAGTAGTCTCCAAGTTTTGTAAAAAGTCTCTCTCCCTAGAAAGAAGAAATACCTTGTGATGATGGCCTAAATCTGTTCCAATTTTGTAATAATGTTTTTTTCTTCTAAGTGTTCCAAACAGATTTCTAAACTCAAAACAAACAAAAAAAACAAACAGGTTTTAATAGTAAGTAAATATGAACAAGCATGTTTTTAAAACAGGAAAAAAAACCAATATAATAATTAACAGAACAGATTTTGAAAGAACTAGAACTCACATTTGCCAGTTTTCTTTTTGCAGACAATTTTGTCTTCTGTCTTGGTTTCAGTCCACAGTTCAGTGGCTTTCTGTGTTACAAATTCTGCAGTACTTTCTCTGATCTTTCCCTCTCTTTCTGTTCACCTCTTCAGAGGTTTGACTGTGTGTCTGCTCTCAGCTGTTAGCTTCCTAGGCTGTCTCATCGAACACATCCCTAAAGAAAAAAATGATAGATACCATACGCTAGAGAATTCACACGACAGAGAGTTTTTATAAATGTCTCAAAAGAAAAACTTGAATTGGAACATTTCATAACTGCTCAGTTGTGGGGAAGAGCCTGAAGAAGACTAAGTTTCTGTAGTTCTGGTACTTCAGAAATTATTCTTCAGTAATCTGAGCAAGTTCAGACTCTGTTGAACTAAAAAACATAGCTCCATATCAACTTTACCACAAGAGTTGTACTTCATTGGTTAAAGCACATTGGTGAGTGTCCCATATACAATATTGCGCTGACTTTATCTGGCTCTTCGAAGACTCATCTGACCTTGTTATATCTTTGTACTCTGTCTTTAAAATGGGGGTAAGATTAATTTGTTTTCAGGACCTAGTTGATGGTTTTACTTTACAGTTCAGATATCAACTTAGAGTATTCCTGCATTTTGTTGCTTATGTCTGTATGATAGTGTGCCATTCCCTGAGATGTGCCTGCACAATTGTATCTAAAACCACTCAGCCAGATTGAGGTACTGATTTTTTTCACAACAAATTTCCATGCATGAGATAAAATGGGTAGGAGGACAGCTAATTTTGACTATAAATGGGCCTTGCTTTTCCAGTGGCACTTCTGGGGAAAAATTGAAGCATTAGTTTCAGTCTCCTGAGGTAAAATTATTGTGAAACTTATTTAATTCTTGTTTCTGTCCCAGCTTGCTCTTCGCCAAAAAGAATCGAGTTTCCTGCTTCCTTGAAAACTGGATTTTGATTGCATCATTCCTTAGCTTCAGTCTTTTTTTTTTTTTTTTTGGCTAAAAATTATATTCCAGTAAAGAAAGCAACACAATATTTGTGCTATTGAACGTAACCAATTATGTATTTCATCAAAATTCATGAAAAAAGATGGTCCTCAGTCTTTATAACAGAATAAAAGCGGAAATAAAACTTTTTTTCCCTAATAGTGGAATTTCAGTCCGTCTTACAGGAACTAAGTATGGCTGTGGAGGAGGTGGCTGTGGTGCCTGCACAGTGATGATATCAACTTACGAGCCAGCTGCAAAGAAGATACGGTATCCTTAACAAAAAGTCTGGAAAGCTCTATGCTGTGTTTTATGACTGTGGATACAGTTTCCAGGCATGAACATATGGAACTGTAAAAATGCAGTTGTAAAACCTGCACTAATTAGTAAAGTACTCCAAAGGAAGAGTTAATTTAATCTGAAGAAGGTTACTGTAAAAAATTCTATTAATTCAACTGTGCCATTTGTTTGCTGATGTGTTACGCTGAAATGCTTTGTTTGCTCATATATGCTGATAGCTGCAGTGAGGAGTTCTCTCTTTAGGAGAATTAATTTAACATCTTTTGT